CTTGGGACAGGAGCTGGTGATGCCGCTTAACCCTGAAAATAAGAGCACCAATGTGGAGAGGTGGCTCGAGAGAGTTTAGGAGTTAGCTGAAGCTAATGCGTGGACTGATAAGGAGCAGTTACTAATCGCGCAGGCCAAATTGGAGGGGGCTGCTCGTGAATGGTACAATGGTGTCCGAGCTCCGAGAACGTGGGAGGAATTTTCAGGAGGTTTGACAGCGGCATTTCCAAGAAGAGCTGATTTTGCTGACACCCTTAAGCAAATGGTGCTTAGAGTCAAACAAGATGGAGAGAGTTTGACTAATTATTATCATCGAAAGTTGGAGATGATGCGTAGAGTGGACCTGCATCAGGGGGAGCGTGCAGTTTCGCTGCTTATTCAGGGCTTGCCGGAGGATCTCAAAATTGGAGCTTTGGCGTCCAACTGCAAGACCCCTGAAGCATTGTATACGAGGTTTTTAACTTCGGTGCAAGCAGGGCAAGAATTCTGCAAGGAGCAAAGATTGGAGAAGAGAAGTGGAGCCTCTACCAGCGGCGTGTCGCGGATTCGCTGCTACAATTGTCAGGAGATGGGGAACCATCTAGGCAAGGATTGTCCTCACTCAGCCTGGCCTGACAATGGTGGTCAGACAGGGCAAAGCCATGTTGTTGGAGGAGGAGAGTCCCGACAAATGGATGAGCAGCTTTGGTATGCCTGAAGTGGAGGAGGGCAAATATGTGATTCGGCTAGCAGAAGAGCTATGTTGCAAATCATTTGCATCTCAGATGGTCAAGGTCGACGTGAGTGGTAAACAAGGTGGCGATTTTGTTATGGTGGACAAAGTTGTAACCACTGAACACGGCTACCTCATGATACATGGCCAACTTCTGAAGCTGGGAATGGAGAACCAGTTGCTGAAGGTGACCAATCTCACAAAAAAGGAGATTCATTGGAGAAAGGGGCGTGTATTGTTTCGTTTGGAGTTAGGAGGCAACAAGGAGGCCAAGGCTGGAGAGAAAAAGAAAGCAACCAAAACTACACAGGTGAATATTATTAGTTTAGGTGATAAAATTGGGCAAGTAAAAATGGGGGATGTGTCTGATTTATGTAAGAATGAACTAATGACATTATTAAAAAGTAGGGAGGCATGTTTTTCTAAAAATGATGTTGATGTAGGTTTCACGACGATAGGTAAAATGGAGATTAAAACAACAACCGATGTGCCGATATTTCACAGACCCTATCGATTGTCACACTCAGAGCGAAGTTTGGTGAGAGAAAAAATACAAACACTTAAGGAGGCTGGTGTTATCCAAGATTCAGAGTCCAATTACGCTAGTCCAGTGGTGTTAATACCAAAGAAGACAGGAGATGTGCGCATGTGCGTAGATTATCGTGCTCTTAATGCAATAACGGTAAAGGACAGGTACCCATTGCCGTTGATTGAAGACCAATTGGAGAAATTGAGTGGCAAAAGGTATTTTACTACCCTGGATATGGCTCAAGGCTACCATCAGATGGCAATGCATGAGAATTCGGTGGCAAAAACAGCATTTATAACACCTGATGGTCACTACGAGTATTTGAGGGTTCCATTTGGTCTGGCCAACTCCCCAGCTGTATTTCAACGAATGGTGGACAGAATGTTGGGTGAATTGAGACACAAGGAAGTGCTAGCATACATGGATGATATCTTAATACCTTCACATGGAGAACAAGATGGTCTTAAGTTATTAAACGCTGTGTTAAAGCTAATTGAAGAGGCTGGTCTGAAGCTGAGATTGGAGAAATGTTCATTTATGCAGAATGATATTGAGTATTTGGGACATGAAGTATGTGGTGAAGGCATAAAGCCTGGAAAACGCAAAATACAAGCTGTTCTTGATTTTCCTTGTCCGACAAATGTACGAACGGTGAGACAATTCGTTGGATTGGCATCTTACTACAGGAAATTTATCGAGGGATTTTCTGTGATTGCCAAACCGTTGACCAGTCTAACAAAAAAGGATGTCGCGTGGAAATGGGGAGAAGAGGAACAAGGTGCCTATGAAAAACTAAAGGAGTTGCTAAGTCAAAGACCAGTTCTAGCTATATATAATCCTCAAGCTGAAACCCAGGTGCATACTGATGCCAGCAAACATGGACTTGGTGGCATTTTGATGCAACGAGTTGGAGACAAAGATTGGAGACCAGTAGCATATTTTAGCAGATGTACTACCACTGCTGAACAGATGTATCATAGCTACGAGTTGGAGACTTTAGCTGTCGTGGAGTCAGTGAGGAGATTTCGAACATATTTGGTGGGCATTCACTTCAAAATCATCACTGATTGTGTTGCCATAAGATCAACTCTGTTGAAACGAGATTTGGTGCCTCGAATTGCTAGATGGTGGTTGGCAATACAAGAATATGATATGGAGGTTGAGTATCGAGCTGGAACCAAAATGCAACACGTGGACGCTTTGAGCAGAAATCCACTTGAATTGGAGCGTTGTATTGAAATAAATTTGGTTACCATGAATGAAACTGACTGGTTTTTGTCGGTGCAATTGCAGGATTACAAAGCAAAGCAATTGGTAATGACTTTAAACTCGAATATTGCTGACAGAGAGACACAGAAGTTATACAAAGTTAAACAACAACGATTATATCGCATAACAGATAATGGAGATCGATTGTATGTACCCAATATGGCCAGATTTACGCTGTTAAGAAGGTACCATGATGATATTGGTCATCCAGGAGTCGATAAATGTGCAGAATTGGTAAAAAAGGAGTATTGGTTTCCCAAAATGAATAAGTTCATTAAAAAGTATGTTCAATCGTGCATAAGATGTGCATTTTCAAAAGGTGACTATGGAAAAGGAGAAGGATATTTGCATCCAATAGACAGGAGGCCAGTGCCTTTTGACACTGTGCATATCGATCATTTGGGCCCATTCATGAAGAGCACTAGGAGAAATTCCTACTTGTTGGTGTTGGTGGATGGATTCTCGAAATTTGTCATAGCAAAGCCAACTAGAACAGTCAATTCAAATGAGACCATTGAGAAACTGATGGAGATATTTGGTGAATTTGGATATCCATGGAGAGTTATTAGTGACAGAGGTTTGGCTTTCACTAGCAAACAATTTAAAGCATTTCTGGAGGAAAAATGTGTGCGACACGTTTTAAATGCTATTGCAACTCCTCGGGCAAATGGGCAAGTGGAGAGAGTAAATAGGAGTTTAATACAGGCGATCGGAGCAAGTGCCTCTAGTGAAGCTAGGTGGGACGAAAAATTACCAGAGATTGTATGGGGATTAAACAATACAATAAACAGGAGTACGAAATTCGCACCTAGTGAATTAATGTTTGCACATGGAGAAAGTCGCGGTTTAGTTGTTGAATTGGAGACTGGAGAGCGCGCTAATGTTGGAGAAGGAGAACAGGCAAAGGAAAGTGGTAAAACTGTAGCGACCACAAGAAAATCAGGAGTTGCTGGAGGTAGCAAGGAGACTATAGGAGGCAAATCAACTAACACCCAAAAGCTTAGAGATGACGATCTCGCACAAGCTGTAGATTTGCGACAACAACTAACACGAAAACGCGCATTGGCTGCAGAAAATATACAAAATGCTGCTCATAAGATGAAAACTGCTTATGACAAACGACGAAAAGTAGCTATTAAATACAAAATTGGTGATTTGGTGTTATGGAGGCATGGAGCTACGAATAAATGTCAAAAGGGCCTAAATCGCAAGCTTGCAAATAAATATGATGGACCTTTCAGGGTGTGCAAGGTAAACAGCAATGACCGATATGTCATTGAAGCCATAAAAGGAGTAAAAGGCTACAAAAGGTTCAAAGCGCATGTCGCAGTGGATGCATTGCGTCCATACAATAGTGTTAATGATGTAATGAGTGATTATGAGAGTGAGTCTGAGTGAATGTGGGGCCCCCTTGAAAGAATGTGTGTGAGAATGTTGTATGTAATGATTCTGTATTATTAATAAACTTTCTTTCCCTTTCAGGAACAAAAAAAAAAAATGGTTTGTGTATTACTAATAAACTTTCTTTCCGTTTCAGCAACAAAACAAAAAGAGAGTATAGCTGGAGAGGTACTCGCATGAAGTAAATTGGTGATTGACAATTGAGTAGGAGAAATTGTCTTGAGACCAAAATAGGAGTGACATATGGAGCACTAACAGTAAATATTACGGAGCCCAGTAGCACCTAAAATCGGAGACTTCTACAATATTTAGGTAACATAGGTGGTGGTATAATGAGGACATTATTATTTTGCAGGATGGCCGAAATGTTAGACGTAAGTTTAAAAAGCCGTACTAGGTTAGGTGGCCACTGGAGGGCGCCACTACTCGGATGGTAAAAACGGGAGCTGCCATCCCGACGGAGAAGAAGAAGAAGAGAGCGTTGTTTTGGAGTAGATAAGCTTGGTGTCATTTTTAATTTTAAAATAAATTAAAACAGTTTACCGGTCATATTATTTAAAATACCTGACAACATAATATTATATTATATTTATTATCTACACTTCTATTTGACGCAAACGGCGCCTCATACAATACCATAAAAAAATAATTTGTAGCCCTAGAAAATGAATTAAATTTTTGTAAAAAAAAAAATGTTGGTGAAAAACTTTTTAGTTTAAACAAAAAAACATTAAGCTCAAACATTTTAATTTTTGAGCTTAATGTTTGATTTGTTGCTTTTTTATAATTTTAAGTGGCTTTGCCATCAATATTTTTTTTTATTAACTCAATTAAGCAATTTTTATTATATTTTTTAAGTTTTCCGAGTTAAAGTATATAAATAATTTTATTTTAATTTGTGGCCTTAATATAATAATAAATAAATAAAATTAACTTTTTGACTGAATTTTTTTCGATACTTGGCCCTTTGAAAAGTATATTAAAAAAAAATAATTTTAGATTTTGGACAATTTCTTGATATTTAAAAATAAAACAACCTTTAATGCTGCATTTTCTTTATTTTATCTTTATTTATTAGCATTGACTTCTTCACTGGTCATTAGTGTAAATGGTGACCATGTAGTTCAATCCTTTGCCCAACTGTGAAGTCAGTCTAATTTCAACCTCTTTTTCATAAAGGCCCCCAGAAACAATGGAAGCATAACCTCCATGCCCGTTGGTATCTTGATCAATTGCCTAAATATATTTATTTAAAATTATAAAAATATGTAAGTATACAAAAAAACTAATTTACCATAACGCAAGTTATGTCCTTGTCATTAATTGATACTGAAGGCCAAGACACATGTTTTTCAACATGGGCGAGGAACTTGCCCTCAACAACCACTGAGGTTTGATAAACCAAAGTTTTACTAAAATAATAAACATTAAAAACAAAATAAAAAAAACTTAAAGAATACTTACGCATTAGCAGTGTCACAAACTTTTATACTATGCGCTCCATCGTCAGCCAAATTTGTCAATGATTTGGCCGAAATTATGGCTACAAAAGCGCTAAGAACAAACAAGACTTTAAAAGACATCATTTTTGCGAATGAAAATTATTAATTTAGGACCTTTTTATACTAAACTTGTTATCGCATTTATGATAGCTTTCATAGTTTCAAGTAGCATTTTTTAGGTTTTTTTCATTGTTTTAATGGAATTACTTAAGTAACTATCATTTAATCAAAATAAAACACTTAACTTTTTTCTTTTTTTTTAATCAAAAATTGCCTTATAATTATATTGCGACCAATTTTAAACCAAATTTTACTGATTTTTCCTTTTAGTCCAACTTTGCTGTTTTTTATTACCTATTATAATTATATACCTGCTAGAATAGTATATTCTGACGGTTTCACGAGAGCGGAATATGCAATTCCAAACGTGTTTCAGACTATACTTTTTCTACGTTTCCAAAAAATACCACAGAAAAATAATTTAATTGAGAGAAAGTTAGGTTGGATTTGTCTAAGATTTGTTAGATATTAAACACAGAGATGTCGCCACCAGTGTTTATTTCGCCGATGAGGGAATAATTAATTCTATCATACATATGCTAATACATCGGAAAAATATCAAGCGTAAGATTGAATAAAAGTGGATTTATAACTCATTAAATAATGCTTATTTTTGAGGGTTTGTGTGATAATTTGTTGACTTGTACTGCAAGGGCATGGGATGTTAGTAAGCCCTGCAATGAACACCAAAATGTATTTACACCCCTTAATGTCAATAAAAATAAATAATTTAAAGTCATGGGGTTATTTGGAGATTCCTGTTATTGAAAAAACTTTGATTTGCGGTGATACAGGGGCTGGAGCTATGGCTGAAGTTCCTACAATTGTTGAGTTTGTAAAAAATGTTTTGAATAAATAAAATTGTTTTATTAATGCACTATTTATTTATTTACAAGGGGGCACAAACTTTTATTAAATTATAAGGGTTGTTTGCACTTAAAGCTGACACTTCCTCATCTTGCCCTGGATATGGGGTTATCCATATTCTATCTCTGTAATAATTTATCACACTTTTAAACTCTTTTTGGTTGTAATTTTCCATTGGGATTGGTACAAAAGGGTCCAAGTGTTCAAACCCCTCTTTTCTAAGTAAATACCTAAAAATCAAAATATTGTAATTCAGTAAACAGTATAATTTTAAGATATAAAAAAATAATCTCCTCTTTAAGAGTTCGAAAAATAAATAACAGTAGGTCATGATAGCAAATTCAGCGGTGCCAATGTAGTAAAAATAAAACGTTGTATTTTAATTAACATATTGCTTTATTACAAATTAAAGTTTTATTAAAAACTAAAAACAATATAAGAAGTAAATAGGTAACAATAAATATTGTTAATTTGTTGTTATAATGGCTAAATTAAGGTTTAAAACTGTCATATTTTTATGTTTCTTAAGTTGGCAGCACGAAATTTAAAATGACAATTTTAAAAGTTGCTAAAAAATTGTTTTTTGATATTTCCATAAAAATTATACTGTAATAATCAATTTTTAACCCATCATTGTTGCTTTGGAGTTTAAAAACGAGTTTTTGATAAAATGTATGGAAAATAACACTTGTGTAGAAGTGTTATTTCCCATAGAATATTATAAAAATTCTTTTCCAAATTTAAATTGATTATTTAGTTTTTCTTTTTATGGAAATTTCATGAGCAAGCTGAGTAGAAACAAAATACCAAGATACATACACCTACATACACTGTGGCGTATTAAAACAAATGTAAGTTTAAAAACTATTTTCTTGGAATCTGTGCTGAAATTTCAAATTATTTGTGAATGTGTCTTCAAAATGTAATATATATAATTTTGTAAATCATATAGGAATGTATATTAAATTTTGAGGACATTCTCTGGAAACTCTTTAAATGGAGATACTACATTAAAACAATTTTTTTATTTGGACTTCTAAAATTTACCTGGCATATGGGAAATTTGGTCTTCCTCTGCTACAGCAATTTCATCTACTGTAACAATAACTGCAGAATTTTTCCAGTCGTTTTTGGTTAGGTTCAAGAACGCTTCGGTAATTACAACTTTGTGAGGATGCTTTTTCCTTTTTCTCTGTAAAAACTCTCGAATTAGGGTAGAAAAACGCGTTAAACCCGTCAATAGCGACCAACGTTTTGCAAACCCCACTATTTGAAAGTTTTTTTATTTCATCTGCTATAATAACAACCCAATCTGAGGCAAACTTAATTCTGTCAATACCATGATTAACGATGTACAACAATGGAGATCCTTTTTCGGTTTTCTCTCTTTTACTCCACACATAATCCTGCGCAATTTTCAAATCTTCCTTCTCCAGTAAGTGAGAATTCTGCGTCTTAAAATACAACAACCAGGCGGCAGCATCGACATTTAAATTAATAAAACCTTCTTTAGTATCAGAATTACTCACTCCTGACATCCACTCATCCAGTTGCCCACCCAAGCAACATGCACACCAAGAAATTACCCCTGTTAGCATAATGCAAATGTGCCATCGATAACGATTTTTTGTTACCTTTTTTCCCATAAATAACAAATCTTACTGCTGGCTTTGTATAATCGATATTTTTTAAGCATTCTATCACGTCTATAGTGGGTTGTCTAATCATAACGCACGTTTCGTTGAACGTTTTTGCTTGTGTTAGGTAAGTTTTTGGTAAACCTCCGTAGTTAAATAGGTGATTTCTATTCTCTTTGGATATATTGTAGAATTGACCTACATGGTTGTATGTGTGTTTTAAGGGATCATGTTCGACGCTCCTGAAACTGTATTTTTTCCTGGGGCTGCGGATTTTCTGTGGTTGATAAGTATTTCACTTTTGAAAATGATAACTTTCTTTTACTCACAAAAACCAAGGCAGTTTTTAACATGTTGTTGCTAAAATAAAATATATATAACATAATTTATAGTATTTTAATAAATTATTGCTTATAATTACCTGTTTAGTAAATCAAAAACACAGTGACTAGAGGCACGCTAACGTACCGCGATTGGAAATATTAAAGGCACGTTAGTTACGTCATAATTATAATCCGTTTTTGTTCCCTGTCCATTTAATATTTGACATCAAGCTAAATAGCTTATATGGTAGGGCGTTCGCTTGGCATGCGAGAGGTCCGGGGTTCGAAACCAAGTAGCTGTCGAATTTTTTTTATTTTTTTATTTCATAAATTTGTTGTTTCTTTGTTAAACAGTGTTCGGTTGGGTTGGGTTGGTTGGTTTGTTTTAGTTTTATCGTAACATAAAATCTACTAGAAGTTGTCGAACTTTTCTTATTTCATAAATATGTTGTTCCTTTGTTAAAAAGTGTTTTATTTTTATCGTAACATAAATTTGCCCATTTTAGTTGGGTTTTTTGTTCAATGGGGCGGGGGGGGGGGCCAATGGGGCGGGGTCGGTTGGGTTGTGTTGTTGAGTTTGGGATGGTTTGAGTTTATGACGTAACTAACGTGCCTTTAACATTTCAAATCGCGGCACGTTAACGTGCCTGTAGTCACAGCGAATCAAAAAATCCTGCAAGTATAGTTTTAGGTTATGAAAACATCGAGGTTAGATTTGTCTACTTTTGACATTACAGCGTTCTGTATTACCATCTACTTCGACGCCACATGTGGACGTCAGACGTCGATTTGACGTTCACGTCAAAATAAATAATGTTATTTTACCAAGTTATGCATTAATTTCTTCTAAACTTATTAAAAATGAAATTTGCGGAGCACCTGTCGGCTCACATAACGCCAGAATGGCGAAAACAATACATAAATTACGAGGTACGTCTTTTAATATGCTTGTTAATTACTTTGGGGAATGTAATTATTTTTAGGAAATGAAAGCGATGCTGTACGCTGCCGTGGAGCAGGCACCGTCAGCTGAGTTGATTGAACCCGAAATTTTGACGAGATATTTCACGAAATTCGATGAAAAGTTTTTCAGTTTTTCTGACAAGGAATTAACAAAAATAAACACTTTTTATTCAGGTGGGTAGGTACTATATTATTAATGCAATGCAATGTTTTAAAAGAGAAACAATAATTTAATTAATATACGCTAGTAGCGCCACCACTCGGCTGTTATCAAAACAAAAGTACAACTTTTAATAATCAGCTGTCAAACGCTTTTTTTTCCTGAGCGAGTTTTTGTCTCAGAACTCTCAAACCACTGAGTTTAACAAAATTGACTTGAGAATATTTTTTTAAGAAAATTGAATGTTCTACAAAAAAGATTTAATTGGAATTTCCCGTCAGATGAACCGTTTTCTTACAATCATGCCTTAAAAACTGGTATAGTTTTACATTTTGATCTTTTAACTTTGTAATTTTGTAATTCATGTAAAAATCAGTACCCGAAAAAAAAACGATAGATATTCTTATGGGAAATCAAATGCTCCCAACATTTTTGGCTAAATTCACTCCATCAAACGCTATTAAGGTTAAATTTGAAGTCAAAACGAAATTCTTGTTTTTCCGCTCTAGATTTTTTTTTGGGTCAGTTAAAAACTTGAATTCTTTTATCGATGATAATCTATATGTTATTGAAAAAAATTACTGAAAATTAAAAAAATATAACACATTAGAGTTTTTTCGCTTTAAGAAGCTACCCACACGGAACAATTACATCCAATGGATATCCAATGGATTTCTTTTATGGATATCCAGGATATACATAGGATATCCGGGATATCCAATGGATAACCATTGGATATATAAATGTCCGACCCTCCTGGACATAGTGTGGATATCCAATGGATACCCAGTGGATATAGTATTGTATGCAATATGGTTGTAATCTGTATTCAATATGGAGATTGTATGGATATCCAATGGATAACCATTGGATATATAAACCCAAGTAGCACAGTATATGATATTCATATGCTCCAGACCTTCCCGATATGTCTAGTATATACCTGAGGTGATATTCATGTTCCTGTCATATTATCGAAAGCATATGAAAAACAGATTATGCTGTTCCTAAGAATAGGTACATGATATTAATATCATGTACCTATACCGAAACACAAATATTACACGACATCTC